CTGACCAATAATATGTGGCCGAGAAGTACTTAATGTACTTGAAGCTGTATTTCTGGCACCGCCCTGAAAGCCACCTCATAAAGTCGTGCATTAGTATACCACGATATCGCATTCAAACAGACACTAGTACACATAATGGTTGATATTTTTGGAAGATCTTCTCAGAAGGAAGATAAGAGTGTCGATTTATATAAATACGTAACTCTTGATCACCTTAGAAGTGAACTCGATGATTTATTAAATATCACGAGTGTGGATCAAAATGATGTCGTTGTTTTTTTAGGAAAAATAAGGACGATTAAAAAAGAGCAACATACAACTACCAGATACGACACTATCAAAAACTACTACGATATCAGTAAGTTCGACCAATCCTGAATTTAGCGTTAACTTTCCAACTTCAATTTCAGCAAGCGAGATAGCATTGGCCCAATTACGCGTTTATAATAGCTGGCCAAATATCAGATCGAAACCATTCGGTAGATTACCAGCAAATAATTCACTGGTATTTGCGAATAAGAATAAACCGGATGGAACACCTAATTAGCAAATTGTTGAAATTTCAACGGGTAGTTATCAAATAGAATAGATTAATAACGAGTTCCAACGCATAATTAAATCTATCACAGGGAAAGAATATACAATAGTCATCATTGTTCACGAACCAACACTATCAGTTATGATGGAAACAATTCCCCTGATTACCTCGTAGATATTTATCAGAATTCGATCAAATCAGTGTTAGGATGGCCTGAAGTCGCACCTGTTTATAATGGAGTTTCAAAACCAACTAAAGATGAATTTAAAACAAGTGAAGAAAAATTCATCAAAGATCCAGAATATCGTAAAAAACGTCCATGGAATATATTAAGATTTAAATTTGATTCAAACGACGATGATCATTACTTTACCGACTTTGACGGTAAAAGGACCCCCAAGATATTTAGACCACCATTTAGTTTTATCTGGACGCTAGGGAGGCGGGATCGAGAAGGTGTTGATGAAATATTTTTTAAAGGATTTTTAGATACTTTTAAACCTGAATATGAAAAAACGTTTAATGATTTAAAAAATATACTTAATTCATTATCACAGCATTATGAATATAGTCTAAAGCAGCAAATAATCGAGTCAATAAAACACTTAAATGGTATCCTACTCGATTTATACATCGCCAATCAAAGTATTATAAACGTTGCAACAACACTCGGTAGTGTTTATACGGATCAAGAACATAAGCAATTAATTCTTGATCATTACAAAATAACAGAAGAACAATTGCAAATATTTATTATACCAGATCTCAATAACGTTGACATGGGGAAATCAGTAAGTGATGTTATTGAAGAATATTATCCGGGAGTAATTCAATCGTGGAGAAAAATAGCCCCACCACCGTCTATTTTAAAACAATAACAACCCTTTTGATGCCGGTTTACATATATCGCCGGGCATTGTAAACATAACAACAACAATTGCAGTCAATCTCGTTTTCGACGCAGTTGAAGGTAGTTTACAGATAGATCTTTCAAAGTCTAGCCAGGCTCAGTAAGGGTACATATTATATAGTTTCAGTCCTTTAGTCCCACCAGTGTGGTTGATTGTATCAGAGCCAATAAACCCCTTGTACTTGCAAGTACATAATCCTTTATAATCAAGAATACACTTCAAACTTAGAGACCAAAGCAACAGAACTCTTGACTTACAAGGGGAAACTCTTATGTGAGATCGTAATGGGTTTTATGTCACAATGCGAAGCAAAAAAAAATATCCGGATGCACATTATACTTGTCTATGATACCTGATACATAATGGTTGGTCCCTATTCTTTGATACAACACAGTTACAGAATATATATATATATATATATATATATATATATATATATATATATATATATATATATATATATATATATATATATATATATATATATATATATATATATGTTACTAGTCAGAATATGTATTAGTTTTCCCAATGGTTTGGTTTAGCAATTAAAACAGTCAATGGCCCCTCCTTTTCATCATCACAGACATTTTCACTCGTATTCTCACAATGTTCCCTTAATTGCCTTATACGAAAGTTCATAATTAATATTTTTCTGTTCGTATTCATGAGATAATTCTAACTTGATTTTGTCAATAGAGTTTGCGAGAGGCACAAACAATTGTACCTGATCATCTCAGTAACTGTTGCCAGCGACTTAAACATTCCATATTGGATTTCCTTCGTGAATTTATAATTGGAGGATAGCGTAAATCTGTTCTGGTTTTTTAGTTGTTGTAATGAGTCCAAATCACATAGAATTTTTTCAGCATTAAGATTGTCAGATACATTGATACCGTTATGTTGTAATTTTTTAATCGCAGAAACAATGACATTGATATTCTCAAAATTCATTATATAGAAAATGTATATATTTAATATAAAGATATTTTTACAAAACATATACAACTCCAACTGAACTTCTAGCTTGTCATATAACATGCTTTCAAGTTCATGAGCAATTCGAATTAATCCCTAAGGTGTCAAACAACATCTTATGAGACTAGAGGTCACATATAACAATTCGAATTAACACGAATTGCCATTGATTCGCTACTCTTTGGAAACAAATATGTTTTTATTTTCAATTTCAATACCTAGCTGTGATCTGCACTCATAGTATATAAATGAATGACACTCAGAATTCATTCGATATCACGATGTGTACTGAGATTGTGTGTAAGCTGTTACCAAGGAGATTCTTAAAATAACTTTACGTATAAGGAATTGGGTCCACATAAATACGGACACACGTATGTTTTTTGGTGCTTACATCAATTGTATTTGATACTCAAGACTAACTGTAGTTATAGCATTGATAGCTTACATTAATTGTATTTCACACTCAAGACGTAATGCAGTTATAAGTATTGATTGCCTACATCAATTGTATTTCACACTCACGACTAAATGTAGTTATAAGTATTGATAGCTTACATCAATTGTATTTGACACTCACGACTAAATGTAGTTATAAGTATCGATAACTTACATCAATTGTATTTGACACTCACGACTAAATGTAGTTATAAGTATCGATAACTTACATCAATTGTATTTGACACTCACGACTAAATGTAATTATAAGTATCGATAACTTACATCAATTGTATTTGACACTCACGACTAAATGTAGTTATAAGTATTGATTGCCTACATCAATTGTATTTCACACTCACGACTAAATGAAGTTATAAGTATTGATAGCTTACATCAATTGTATTTGACACTCACGACTAAATGTAGTTATAAGTATCGATAACTTACATCAATTGTATTTGACACTCACGACTAAATGTAGTTATAAGTATTGATTGCCTACATCAATTGTATTTCACACTCACGACTAAATGAAGTTATAAGTATTGGTTGCTTACATCAATTGTATTTGACTCTCAAGATGTAATGCAGTTATAAGTATTGACAGCTTACATCAATTATATTTTTCTCACTCACGACTAAAGTTAGTTATAAGTATTGATAGCTTACATCAATTGTATTTCACACTCACGACTAAATGTAGTTATACGCATTGATTGTTTACGTCAGTTGTATTTCACACTCATGACTTAATTCAGTTATACGTTTCACACTCATAACTAAATGTAGTTATGTTTCATACTTACGACGAAATGTAGTTATACGTTTCACACTCATAACTAAATGCAGTTATGTTTCATATTTACGATTAAATGTAGATATACGTTTCACACTCATGACTAAATGTAAATCAATTGTACTATTTATTATAATAAAGTCACACTTGAACCACATACGCATTAAGTGTATTTATTATACAAAACATATTGGGGGGGGGTCAGAAGGTGGAAATGTATAGCCGATTCTTAAACAGAGAAATTCTCCGTTCGCACGACAAGGAGCCGCTTACCATTGAAAAATCAATAACAGACCTAATTATAGCTAGCCAATCAGACAACAGATATCAACTGCCGGTATGCACACTAAGAAACATTGTACGCGGATTTTATGAAAACAAATAATACTGTATTATCAGTTTTTCATTTACTGGCTGTGCCTAAGTAGAGTTGCCGATTATCATTGAATAAGACCACTGGCAAGGTTATTGTGGTATCAAGTTTATAAAAGGTTATTTTGTTAATGCACTATGTATATACATTTGTACACAAACAATGGTGATTTATCTGTATAAAACATGTGCCTGTAACTGCAACGTGAACAAAGTTTTTCGTTGGGTCAAAACCCTAGGAAAGTAAAGGGAAATTAACATTAGGTTTTACATTTATCGATTAAAAACCGTTTGTTTTTTTTTTCTTCCAGTTTTTTTATCATAATTCGATAGCAAAAATCTACACATAACGAGCAAAAATACCGTGGGAAAAAAAAAACAGTATTTGGTCAACAAATTTAAAACCTTTAAATTTCCGTTAACCTTCTTGGGGTTTTGACCCCATAAAAACTAGCAAAGTTAATGAATTCCATCAAATAAAACGACTATAATACCTATTAAAAAATCAACAAAATTGACTAAAAATGCTTAAAAAATCAACAACCTATGATAAATCAGTCAAAAGATAAATAAATCTTATATTTCTTGATATGCGCATGATAACAAGATTTTTATGATTATCTAGTTAACTCTGGCGCGGTTTAATAATGAGGTTTGTTCATTTTGCTAGTTCTCGTTGGGTCAAAACCCCAGGGTTCTTAACGTGAATTTACGCGCTCATTAGTAATGTCATGTGATTGTAATTTTTTTTAAGTAGCTTTAACAATTTTTTAGTCATATCGCTACGATGTATGCAGTGTGACAGTTTATAGTGATGTATATCACTGGGGCATCATGCCGCAGACATGTAGCATGATGTTCCACCCAGTCACATTTCCTGACACCAGTCCGACCTAACACTAACCTCTTAATTCTGAGCGTCAAGCGAGGCAGCTGTTAATACCATTTTTCTAAGTCTTTGATATGTCTCAAACGGGGTTCGAACCCACGACCTCCCACATCTGAGGCGCTATAAACACTAGGCTATAAACACTAGGCATACATTCAGTTACTTTGTTTCTTGTAGTGCTTTTTTTTGTTTATATATTTAAGGCTTGGGATGAATAAGAAAATTAGTATATAATGAAAAGGTTACTGCATTTGAATGGGAAAATATTAACTCGTTTTGTCGTGCAGTATTTCCATCCGAAAAACTCGTTCATATTTTTCCATACAAATGCAGTAACCTATAAGTATTACATTATAGTAAAAATTAGTCCCAGTATTGTTATTTCGCGCTACCAGGCAAAGTGTGCAACTAAGTTGCCTAACAAATGTAAACTTCGTCTTTTTCAGGTAGGAAAGCAAAAACGACTTCACCACGTGATTATTTTTTACAGGTACGTTGATTAATCCTACCTTTTAATATGCCCCTCGCCTTAGGCAGGTTTATTTTTGTCAGGTGTGGGGGCTGTGGGGGCGACAAGTACTCTTCAAGCCCTCCTTAGTTAGGCTTGTTTTGATATCCATTACGCGGACAAACAAACCCGGGCACATTCACCGGCATGTGTTTTGATAGCAGATTGACCATTAACCCTTTCCCGAGTAAGTTACCGGCTTAGGACTAAGGGTACTAATATTAATACTAGGTCCCTATCACTACCCGATTTACGCATGTTATTCTTTTAGGATAAAAGCATACAAACTTATGTTTTGAAACTTTAATAATAATACGTAAATAACCATTTGTATTTTAAGACTAAAATCGGTGATCTGGATATTTTAACTGCTACCTGTGCTCTTATTTCGTCATAAAATTAGTTTGAAACTGTAAGTGTACCAGTGACGCGAGAAAAAAAATGGCAGACATCGCTGGCACACTGGGGAAGTGCCAGTTTATTAGATAGTCTGTTTTCGTAAATCATCGGGTAAATATATTCAGAACAATACACAGTTCATAGAAAGCAAAGTCAAGTTATTATGTTTTTTAATATATAACTTGAAAATCTAATTATATTTGTCTCAAACATATGAGACAATGCTATGTTGTAAAATGCTCAAGAAGCTTAAGGTGAAAGTTGTTTTCTGACTGGTCTTGTGTTTGTGAAAATAAAAAGATGTAAAGCAGATAATATTTAATCAATGCCTAAAATTAATACAAGTTCATAGACAAATAAATAAACCATAAATTTGCAATCATGTCATGAACTGTTGTAATGAAGCTAAGTTAAGGGAATTATTACATTATGAAAACCCTTTCTTCTAAAACTAGATGCATTCATGACTATTTTTTTGGCTGGAAAGACGGGTTTATTAATTCATATAGTGACTATAAATGAGCCATGTCTGTAAATTTATGCAATTTAGTGTTTTGTATGAATATTACGGTAACGTTTTATCCGCAATAAACAAATAAGGACACGTGTTCATTTGCCCTCATGTTCATCATACAGGGTTTGTGTCAAACTCTTTTATAAATCTTTGAAAGTGTCATTATTGTGAACTTTTAAAAAGTATATAAAAATAAATACGAAATATAAAAGAAATTAATGGTAGTTGATTAAGCATTTTTACCAAATTGCAATTACAATCATATAATCTAGTTACTCAGCTAAATTGTTACAATGCAGTTTCCATTATTCTCTTTTAGAATATTATGTCCAAAATAACTAAGAAAATTTTCTACTTAAAAATGAAGTATTGCTTAAATCCAATGTTAAATGCAAATATGAATACTAGGAAATAGAGGCCATAATTTGAATAATAGAATATGCATTACATATTGTTATTCTTGCTTTGCGTCACTTCTCCGTATAATTCAAGTCTAGCTTGAACCCCTGTTTATAGCAACCAAAACTGGTATCTTAGAATAATATTGTATCACTTTATAATAACATGACCACAAGACTGGTATCCCAGGAGATGTAGAGCTTAAAACTGGAAATTTATAAGAAGTGATTAGATATTTAATGCAAGATCTAACATTCCTCTCTCTAACGGCTAATGAGGCGACACTCTTGTTATAAGTATTACTAAAATATGTTAGAAGGACATGACAAGCCTTTTAAACATTTGGCTACCTTGGAATACTATTGACATTGATCATTCGAGTATTGGCCTGTCAAAAATGTGTCGTTTGTTGGTTCAATACCATTACTCAGTACAAGATACGATATAATTTATATTTGGCAACATTTTAACTGTTTATTCACATACACAAACAAAATGAACAAAGCTAACCTGAAGCTTTGGTCCTCACGCTGAGGACTTCATCAATAGACTGATTTAATCTCTACTGACTGTTAACACCACTCAGTGGAATGGTGTATTGTCGAAGTCCTTAGTGTGAGGAAGGTAGCTTCAGGTTAGCTTTCTCTGTGTTTGTGGTTGAACAATTTAAACATTGTCAGATATGAATAAAGGATGTATATGGCAGCCAGTATAACTGGTGGAGGAAGAACCAGCGAAAACTCTTGGAAGAACCACCAAGTCACGGGAAAGTGATGGCAGTTTTCATATATACACACGTTGGCTGGCTGATATATGAAATAGTGTTGACATCGGTGAGCAGGGATCAGTTTTTAAAAAAAGTAAATAAAGAAGGAAAGAAAAGGAAAGAAAAGACTGAATGCAGAATGAAGAAAAAGACTAATAGACTATTAATATAGTTCCAAAATTTAAATCAGTATGTCATGAAAAATCAACACAATTTACTATAAATGATCCATTCTCAAACGCAGCATGACTAAAAAAGGCACCGTGTATATTCATGTTTATCACATACAAATCTAAGAATGGGGGATGTGAAGATACCTTAATAGAATGATTCCTGGTCGCAGAGCAAGGAATGTTCCAGGTGGTGTCATGAATCATGTTGCACTACCCTTAATATGCAATTTTGCTGTGCTAAGCGTGAGTAATAAAGAATTTACTAGGATTATTCACGACTTTTGATCTTTGTCTTCTTCTTTATTAACGGTGGAAATTTGGAACCATTTACACTTGAGAATTGTGCTAATTTGAATGATGCAATACTATGTACATTTAGCATCTTTGATGTATAAATATATACCAGACAAAACAGACTTTACTATCCCTGGATTATGTAGTAGAATCTTGATAATAGTGGGCAGAATTTATATTTTAATACAAACAATACTATCAGGTTAAAAAAAATTAATTCGTACTCTACGGAGTTTCGAACACAGGTCCGCGAGTAAATGGCACCTATCACCTTTCCTGCACGTATTAACCCATATACTGTTATGACTAAGCACGCATCACCGAAAAATGACCCACTGAATCGGTGTTATATGAGCTCGTGCGTAGCAGACAACTCGCATGACGATCTAGTAAGTAATTCTCATATAAACACACACACAAACACACACACACACACACACACACATATATATATATATATATATATATATATATATATATATATATATATATATATATTTATATATATATATATATATATATATATATATATATATATAATACTTTATTTTTACAGTTCAACGGTACTTTTGCTATTTTACAGACTTTAACAGATATCGAATGCATTTACAGGAAAAATGCCCATTTAAAATTTTCTACTACTTTTCATTTGTCTTGTAAACAATTTATTCGCTATATCCATATATTCATTGATTTATTCATTCATTCATTCCAGGGTAATACTATACAACCATAAAATCAACTAATGTAAATGTGATTATTCACTCAGGTCAATATTTTTGTCCCATTAAACAAATCCAATTACTTAAATTTCAAGCAAAATTTTCAGTTAATTTTTATCTTTACTTTGGGAAGCATGGATTACAAGATGCTAAGTAATATATTTTTTTAGTCTTTTGTATGTCTCTCATGAAATTCTGTGTTAATATATCCATCCAAACGTACGCTTTTACCTCCGTGCATGAATGCACGCACACACACACACACACACACACACACACACACACACTATTTGAAATATTCGGAAAGCGAAATCCCGATATTTAGACCACCACCATTAAGAGTTAAGTTTCTATTAACCCCCTTTAGGTGGTAATAGCGAAATAGCCGGAGCATTGCCTGTTTTATTTATTTATCGCGGTGAAATATAGAGGCTTTTGTCGCGCGCGAGAAGGTAAGACTGAAAGCGCCTGCGGGTGGGAACAAGTGTTACAAACATTTATAGAGACGGGACAACGTCGCCTTCACAAAGAAAACCTCGAAAACCACTAGCAATTGATTCTCGGGGTGGGGTGGGAATTAATGTGTTAACTCCCCAATTATTGGCAATTATGTAATTTCGTAGTTAATAACCATTTTGCTCCCATGCAAAATATTCCTTCATACAAGAAAAGACAGTAGAAACACAGCTGTCAATTCAGATTCATTTAAGTTAAATTTTATATCATTATATCAGTAAATTATCATTTTGAAGAAATGGCGTATGTACAAGTTAATAATAAAACGTATTATATGTTACTCGTCTATTCCATTTATATTTAAACATCCATCCATACACGAGATGTATGAAAATGCACGCGACTTCATGTTCACGCGATCATACCTTTATTCACCCTATACTAATAATATTTCAATCCAATATAAACTTTCTTGATGCAGTGAAATGCTAGCTGCAGTTACAAAAGGTCATAGCGATCGATATTTGTCTGGTAATTTTGTTTTTGCAATTGATGCGTAAATCACTCAAACATCGGGATTAAATAAACTTTGTTAAAACTATATGACAATTAAATGTTAAAACTAAGATTTGTTTTTTAAATTTATATTAGTAAATGTGCTTGTATGACCCATGTGACTTTTTCAGAAACATCGAACTCCAAAATTGTTTTCAGTATAGACGTTCCTAGAGGATAGATCATTTCGAGCAAACAGAAAGTCTATTTTCGGAGGGAGGGGGGCTTAACTCCAGTTTGTGTGTTCGTGGTGGAGTTTTGTACCATCCATAGTAATTATATTCATGTATATTGTTCTTAGCTTGCGTGTTGTTTGTCATTATTTTTGATTTAGTACTGTAGCGGAACTGATCTCTCG